GTACGTCGCTATTTTCTCTATGACTGGGGCTAATTAAACATGTTGATTGAGGTGAAATTAGTTGTTATATGCGTCTTTTCCTGCTCATGCTCATCTTCCTTGAAAATGGCACGGCATGTGGTTGACTCTCCTTGCGGGAAAATATGGATCCACACAGATAATTAATTTGAACTTTTCTAGTCCCCTTTTTAATTCGTTGCTGTCTACTGAGACCTTACTGATATTTGGATTTGCTTATATTTTGCTTGGAGGGTTTTTTCCTCAATAAGATANCTTTACCATTATTGAAAGGAAATCTTCAATCATTCATGTCAATGTGTAAACATGTGTCTTTACAATTTAGATAATGTAAGCCATTTTTTATTGTCACTTGAGTTGGAGGTTGTGATTTTCTAGAAAAATTCAATTCTTGTGTTATATATGATACTTGATATCTTGGAACTTAATTGTAGTTTGATAAGGTGGAGATATTTGTAGTGTTTGTGTTAATTTTGTGGATCATCCCCTTTGACTTCAAGGAGCTAGAAATTAGCTTATTGTCAGCGCTATTACATGGATCCTAAATTGTAATCAAAATTCTAATGGGTTTCAGTTATCTAATGCTTGAATATGGTTATTGATTTAGTATGGGGTGGTAAGACGAGGTATGAAAAAATAGATGGGACTGCATAAGGAGTCTACTTGTCATAATAATATGTAGATTTGACCTACAGTTATTATAAAGTTCTATGCAAAGTTCTTATTATGCAATGCTTTAATACCATACAGTGACCAACAACTTTTACAAAACTACTTATCTGTTCCGATTTTTTTCCAAATTACACATAACACCTCGAGCACTAACATAACAAAGTATGACTTCTAAATTAGAAACATCGTGGCTTGAGTGAAGGATTCTTTTATTTTTACTCATGTCTGCTGCACTGCACAAGTGGTTGTCTGGTATAATATTTCAAACAATCACTTGTGATTAGCTTTACAGTATCTGTATATACTGACTTTTTAATTATATTTTGCAGCTCAAGATAAGATTGCAGATTTTGAGATGAAGCTCATGGATATTGACAGTGAGCATCTTGGAATTCCTGAAGCTGAGTATCATGCTATAGTTAGGATGCCATCTGCTGAATTTGCTAGAATCTGTAAAGATCTGAGCAGTATTGGTGACACGGGTAATGCCTATTGGTACTCACTATTTTAAAAGGATTTAATCTTCTCTTCACAAATATTGACTTATTGCTCCCCTTTTGGATTTATTCGAGATTGCAGTTGTGATCTCTGTCACTAAGGAAGGTGTAAAATTCTCAACAAGAGGTGATATTGGGACAGCAAATGTCGTTTGCAGGCAAAATACCACAGTGGACAAGGTTCTTCTTGTGGCCTTTGTAAAGCATATCATAGTAGTATATATAGAAATCTGTGGTTAATCCAAATGATGACATGCTTTTTCTTGTGGCCTTATTAAACTAACTTCCAAGATTATTCTTTTTCTTTTAAAATTCGTGCTTTTTTTAGCCCATTTTTCATCCCTTCCACCCAACTTGAAAGTATGATGTTCTCAATGTTGATATTTTGTGCAGCCTGAGGATGCCACGGTTATAGAGATGAACGAGCCAGTTTCTCTGACATTTGCTTTAAGGTACTTGAACTCGTTCACAAAGGCAACTCCCTTATCGAACACGGTTACTATTAGCTTGTCCACAGAGCTGCCAGTTGTGGTTGAGTACAAGATTGCAGAAATGGGCTATATAAGGTTTTACTTAGCACCCAAGATTGAGGAGGATGAAGAAGAAACCAAGGGATAACTTGCTTGGGGTTTCTATTTGCTAGCTTCAGATTCAGCCTAAAAGTAAAAACTTTGGTCATGTTCTAAAAGTGGGATGCTGAGTATTAGTTTGTTTCATTTGACTTCTTAAAACAGGGTGTGCATATCATCACATTGTATGATTATCAGTACCTTTGATTTATTTTAGTTTCATCTAGTAATTCCTTTGAAACTTGTGACTTTTTCCTCTGAGTGTGATCTAAGAAATTGCAGCGTGAACTTCAAAGGTGAGCTACTGAGCTTAGATTCAATACTTCTAGATGTATGCACCCATCAACTAATAAAATTAAGCAACATCTTGAAATGTATGAATGCTCAAACTATATTTATTTTATTTGATCATAAAATAAATTAATAGTTATTATTACTAAAATGTAATCTACATTTTAACTTAATTAAAGTGTAATTATTTTTTAACTATTTTATTATATTATATTTATTACTAATACTAACCATTATATTAGCACAATAATGATATATGGTAATAGTAATATTAATTTTTTAGATAATTGATTGGTTAAGATCTCCCGAAATTTAAAAAAATGCATTATCCATTACATTTTATGTAATCAATATAGTAATAAAGTTGAATAGCTTTATTCTATTCATTTTTAGTTTTTTACTAATAAATAATATTTTAAAATTGTGATATCATTAACTAACTTATAATTTTAATATTATACATACATATAACTTATATGATTGGAGACTTTAAAATCTAACTACTAATTTTTTTTCCATCAAATATTCAACTATATTTCATCTCATATGCGAATTACAATTTATATTGAATCGATGATAACACGTGATACAAAGTCAGTGCAAATTATAAATATCTAAATATGATTTTTAAGAAAAAAATCGAATAATTTTGTACCCATTTGAAAGACAACTTCAAAATATTATTATCCAATCACACAATCACAATAGCTTGCTTCGTGTCCGTAATTATCTAATTAAGAACCAAAATTTTCTAATAACATCTAAAGTTTTTCCTACAAAAACAATTATATGCCACGTTTTTTAGTCACCAAGTTTTTTCATGAAACACATATTAATGATAGTAGGACTGCAAACGAGTTGCGCCGTTCGCGAGCGCTCGAATCAATGCTTGACTCGAGCTCGAGCAAACGAGTCGAGCCTCGAGCATCATTTCAAGATGCTCATAAGCTTGATGAGCCGCTTGACTTTTTATTTACATAAATAACCTATGTAGTTTAATTATCAATATAATAACATCAAGACCAGAATTGTCAATTTAGATTAAAAATAGTACCTTTATATTTAAAATTTAGTTGTTAAAAATTCGAGTCGAGCTCGAGCCATTCGAGCATTGAGTTGATCTCGAGCATTCTTATTTTTTTCACGAGTCGAGTCAAGCAACATTTTTCATGGCTTGTCGAGCTTGAGCTCGAGCTTGGACAGTGAAGAAAAAAGTCCAATCTGCTCTCGACAAGGTCCATGCTCGACTCCGCTCAACTCATTTGCAGTCATTGTTGATACGGTGACCGAATATCTGACATTATTAATATTTCCAAATTCATTGATAACTTTGGATAAGGTCGTGTTTATGTCATTCAGAACTACCTAGTAGAACTTCGACATATAAAGTTAATAATCAAACATTTAAAATGAAATACTATTATTTAATTTATAATTTGAATGATATAATATATAACTAATAATATATTTTATGTAAATGTGCACGTACATATGAATGATAAACCACCAAATTTTAATTGTAACTACAAAACTCAACATCAATATTAAATTCTAAAGAATGCAAATTGCAAAGGAAATTAGGTCACGTACATATGAATGATACTTAATTCACCAAATTTTTATTGTAACTACAAAACTCGAAATCAATATAAAATTCGAAACAACGCAAATTCCAAAGGAAAATAGGTCAAGGAGTTAGCGCCGCGCCACCGAGTCCCGCCTAAATCCTAATTAGCAGTAAATGAAATAAAGGGCAAAGTCGTAATTGGATTAGAATTTTTTGCCCGCTTCCAGAGAAAAAAAACCCCAGAAACAATAGATAAGACAAGCGTCCGCCATTATTGCTGATCAATTTCTCCTCTAGGGTTCGTGAACCCTCCGTGATCAATCCATGGAGAATAATGCTACACCTCCAGGTAGAAATCGCCACTTTCCTGATGAATCTGATTCATTTCACGCGTTATCTCTTCAAAATTTATGCGCTTTCGGGGGTGGGTTTGTAGATTTTTTATGTATTCGGTGTTGGGAAATTGCAGCGTTTGATGTGTTGGCCTGTTGGTTAGTTCTGTTTATTCACAATCGCTTTCAAAATTTGGAGCTTGTGCCCTATGAGAATTTTCTTGATGTTCTGTTTGTCCTTTTTTTTTCCCCTTCCTTTGCTGAGAATTGATGGCCTGCTTACTGGATCCTTTCATTTATTTAAGTGAATTGAGTATAAATGTTCAAAGATCAAGATGAAAATTTTATCATAAATCAACATCCCTTCAATTTTCGCCACTTGATTATAAGTCAACTTTGTTATAGCAGTAATATGATGTGCAGAAGCATATAGCAGTATTAGATTACAAAAGCCTTGTAAGACGTGTTTGCCACTCAATCGTTTGCAAGTTTGTCTTGTCTTTAGTTCTGCTTGAATCAGTGAAATGAAAAATACAGTTCCATAAATTTGTGCGATTATTTTGTTTTCATTTGACTCACTGGTTTATGAATGGTGTTGGCTAAATTCTTGTTCAGGTGGTGCTCCTCCACCAAAACCATGGGAAAGAGCTGGTTCTTCATCCGGAGCTGCACCATTTAAGCCACCCTCTGCTGGTAACACAAGTGACGTAGTAGAAGCTTCTGGAACAGCTCAACCTGGTGAAGTTGTTTCAACTGCTGATAGGAACACAACCATTAATAGCAACATACTTGGGAGGCCTGTGCCTACCAGGCCTTGGGAACAACAGACTTATGGAAACAGCTATGGAGGTATCTTGACTGAAATTTGGAACTGGCAGTATTGTTGTTTTACTTCATTGAATTTATGGGGACTTTGGCTCACCCAAAATGGAGATTAAGTTTCAGATAGTAAACCTTTTCCCAATCTGTTCAGATTATGATATTAATAAAAAAAAAAAAAAAAGATTTGTGAACCATAAGTGAATATTGTCACACTGACCAGATGGAAAATGTTCTAATAATTAGTATAATTTGAATTTCAACCCATGATCTATGAGCTACATAGACCATATCACGATAAGCACCAAACAAAATTATTTTAAGCAAATTCTTCTTATCTCTCATTCAGAGAGATCAGTGCTAAGAAGACATCCTGTTTATGAGATGTTGATTTGGATAGAAAAAAGAGTTGTCTGCATAGCATCTGTCAGTACCATCAAACCTGAGGTTGGACGTGTTTAAAATTGGCCTGCTTTCGTGTTTCAAGTGAATGACATAACTTTCCTGTGTTTTTATTTTGTCTTATAATATATTAAGTTTTTCTAGTAACTTTAGTTGAGGAGTACCGTTCTCATTTACTCTCTGCTTTGAAAACACTACATGTCTATTGATAATGTTGTGCCATAATCACTAAAAGTGTCCACAACTTTGCAGTGACCATTTGACCTTTAATTAGTCATAGTGGTTCTGCAAGTGTTTGTTGATTCTATTCGACTAGCTTTCAATTGTTTTTCCTTCATGGTTAAATTCTAATTGGGTGAAGAATTTCTTATTTTTATTATGTGAATGGATGTGTGATGAAAAGGTAATGATTAAAGCTGATGTAGTAGGGAAATAATAAAATAATGATTGACAGTTAGAACTGTGTGAATGGATGAGTAGTAAAATTTATAGTGAGTAGTGTAGTATTGATTTGTATTTTATTTTAGAAATTACATTGATTGAATTAAGGATAGAAGAAGATAAATGAATAGTGCAGTTTTCAATTATCTCAGGTGGATGAAATAATATTTATCTCATACCACTCACCCTCTGACATCTTGCCTGTAAAATACTAAAGAGCTTATGACGAATGTGCACCTAATGTTTATGATAGGCACATTTTGTTGGTGAAGTCTTTAGCCAAAACCATACGATAAAATACAGATGAGTTACATATGTATACACTTACATTTCCATGTATAGTTCAGTACCTGATGTTATCATAACCCTTTGCTTTGTTTTTCACTCAGGCTACGGATCAGGTTTAACTTACAATTCCGGTTATGGAAGCGGGATGTATGGGTCCTATGGGGGACTTGGAGGGTCATATGGCGGAGGATTGTATGGAAATAATATGTACAGAGGAGGTTATGGTGGACTTTATGGAGGTGGCGGCATGTATGGTGGGGGAATGTACAGTGGTGGTGGTTATGGAGGCCCAATGGGAGGCTATGGTATGGGCTTGGGAGGCCCTTCTAGTGAGCAGGATCCCAATAATCCCTATGGACCTCCTCCTTCTCCACCGAGTTTTTGGGTTTCGTTAATGCGAGTGGTAAGCCCTAATACTTGCTATTTATGCTTTGTGAGCAATTTTCCATTACTTGGGGGGCGATTGGATATAAATCAAAACCGGTTTTGATTGAATTTTGAGTTAAAGTGAATTAATTTTATATAAAGTTGATTGAGTGGGATTTTGAGCTTGTATTTAAATAAAATTTAATATTTAAAATATAATGATTAAAGATGATGTGATAGTAAAAGTATGAGAGATGTTATTGGAAATGATAGGTAGTTAAAAACATGTGAGTGGATGGACAGTGAATTAAATTGATGTTATATGTGGGGTTGATTGATTGATATTATTTGATTATATTGATAATATTTATGAGAGTTGAGTTGGATTTTGAATTAATCAGTGTAAAAAATATATCCGATTGGTCAAAACCGGTTTTAATCTGTAGCCATGTAGCCAATCACCCCCTTAGCTGCATAAAGTTCATGGTACTTGGTGAGTTAGTGTATGAGAATAATGGATACTAGAATCTTGTTCCAAATAGAAATAGATGATTCATACCTGCTGCATTTCACAATATATATCCCCCCCATAAAAGGAGGTTAAAAAAAAAAAGCGAAAGATGAAGAAAACTTGGGAAAACTAAAGAGTTCCAGTAGATAGTGAATCAAAAAGTACTGTTGATGAATTTGTTTCAATAGCTTGCTTAAGCAGTAATTTTTCATTAGGTTCTGCAAGTGCCTATTGGCTTTCTATGTACTTTGACCAATGCAGATGCATGGTGTGGTAACTTTCTTTGGACGAGTCGCAATCTTGATCGACCAGAATACGCAAGCATTCCATATGTTTATGACTGCTCTTCTTCAGGTACTGTCTTTTTTTTTTTTT